GTAAGCGAAATGATATGAATTAATATGCTGCTTTATTGCAAGATGAATTGCAAGTAGCACTATTTTCGCCATTGTTTCAAGAAAAGGAGAAGTTATTTTTATGGGTTTAAACTTCACATCCTAATCAACAGATACGTCCTGTAGTATTGCAACTATCTCCATTTATTTCTACATTTTCGATATAAAATTAATTGAGAAAGCTTTCTTAAAGAAGCTCGTAAATGGAAGACACAGGAACTAATCATATTTTATAAAAAGGTTTCAAATGCTGTCAGGTCCTAAATATTGTGTTGAGTTGAGCATTATAAGCAAAGATGGATAGTGGTTAGCAGTGGAATCCAGTTTGATGCACGTTTCAGTTCTATTTGGGACTCGTCAGCTGAATTTACCTGCATCTTAGAGTTGATGTTCACTCTGGAATTCAAGCCTAGTACTGTTCCCTTCAAACGCCATCGTGATTAATGATTCAGTTTAAGAGTTTTATAATTTCTAACTCAATGAATTGTTTTATAATAAACACTAATCAAAATGGGAAATGTAACCTTTGACAATTTACTATTCATTCATATGGGTATCATGAAGAAATATCACGTTCCAACAAACATGTTTCTACTAATTAAGTGATTATAGTTTTGTGTAATATGTACTAGTCGATCATTGAGTAACTAATGACATGTTTGTTATCTATGCCTTAGTAACTGATCAAATCAAACTGATCAAGTAACTATGTGACAAATAACATACGATATGATCTGACTTGAGAAGTGAAAAATTGGTTAGCATAAAACGAATTCACAAGTACATAAATAAACAATCTGTTTACAAGATTATTGCTACTTACGAAATACTAGTCATTGATACTTATAAGTCAATAAACATCCATTATCTTACTGTGAACAACAAGGAGTAGATAAGTAGTAATTTGAAGATAGTCTTATATATTCCATATCCTATTCAGTTTCATAACAGTCAATGGATTGGCGAAATTGATTACTATCTATATTTCTGTACTGTTATATCCTGACGAGAATAGTGGATGGTAACTATTGAGATCTATTTATGGGCCAATACTATACATATACTTTTATTGTATAATAATTGTTAAGTAGCTGAACTATGGATATTCATGTTTCTCCTATTACAAGCTTTATTTTGGCTTATAGACTATTATTATACAACTTACCGTTCTTAAGTTATGCTCAGTCTATTAATTACACTATCCCACAATCACAGCCACTTTTGGTTAGATCTTGTACAAGTGTTGTGTTCTATTTTATGGTGCGATGTAGTCTGTTTGTTTGTATATCGATAGACCCAATATGTTTGAAATACAAGATTCATATCGTAGGGGCTGAGATTGGTGTTCTGGACTCTAACAGGCTGGGCTAGGCAGAAAGCGGGACCAATCAGGACTCTAGACTGTTCGTACGGGTTTGTGCGTCATTGGTCCGGTCGATAAGTCACTATTCTCTAATTGGCGGTATTATTACGCCGTATATATTAATAGGACACAAGACCACAAGTTATAACATGTACAAAGAGTACTTCTAAGTAACAGGTGGCCTACTTGAACTGTTATCTGTTTATTTTCCAAATGCTCGAACATTGCACTTATGTTTCCTGTTTCAGATATACTACAACTAACTACGTCCATTAAAATCATTATTTACTCACTCCCACAAAATGCTCACAACACATTACGATGCTGATTTCTCCAAAACTCTCGTAACACTATTGTGTTACGAGTAACAGTATATGAAATAGGATTATTATAGTTAAAATATTTAAAACTTAGCATACACTACTGATAAATAGCTATGCTTTTCTATAAAAATAATCAGCGAAACGATAGAGACAACAAGTTTATAAATAGACAAATGAACCAGAAAGGAAAGTTGGAGTTATCAATCATGATTTTTCTCAAAGAACTAATTAGGTTTCAACTGCGTCTGTCAAATTCTAAAGCACGCTCAAATGAAAGTAAAACATGAAAATTTTTTGTCGAGATCATGAACCGATGAAGGTTGGACGACCATTGCGAACCTGAAAGCGCTGGATGGCCATTCCATCGTAGTATAAGACTCCTCAGCAGCTTGCATCGGCTCTGGAAACGGAGTTCGAACCCAGGACCTGCACCCACGCGCAAGTTCCCAATCCCTAGACTACCGGAGCCCAGTGGTGGACGAGTCTAACTTCAGCAACCCACGGTACTGTTATCGAGACTGAAGGTCTCCAGTTCAATTCCTGAGATCGTAGGTGTAAACTACTGAGGAGTCCTGTTCTAGAATGAAATGGCCATACAATGCTTCTAGGTCTTTATTGGTAGTCTAACATAGAACTGATTGTGATTGCAACAAAATTGAACAATTCCCACAAACCCATACTGACACATACAGTTCTCTTGTATGACGGTTTTCATTCACAAACTTGTATTACCTTCAAATTATCGCAAGTATTGAAAGTTGACATTGATGTAACCTTGTTAGAATAAACTAGCATTTATTACTAGCGTTCCAGAATTAATAATAAATTTGTGGGTAATTAGTAACTCAGGCAGTACATAAATTCAAAGTCTTGTGATACAATAACATCACCTAGTCAGTTAAAAGAACTCCACCATTATTATTTATGCTACAACCTGAGTATACATAACGCGTTTTTACGGGCTATAATTAGGCAAAGTGCGTAAGTAAGTGTTATTAAATCGCTTAGCTCAAAAACAACCAAGCTAAAGGGATGTACCTGAGCTACAAGCCTTTTTCATTATACAATTTAACATTTGGTTATGATTAACAACATAATACAGTGAACACAATTTGTTTTATGTAATGGTCAGCAACACTAACTCATGAGCACGAACCCAAGTTGGTGGAATAGTAGTCCGAACTGCATCAGGTATACTGATTAACTTAGGTCTTTCATATAATGTAGAGCGAATCCGAATTCTTATGACTTATGGTATAAAAATATTTATTACATTGCTACAACATATTCACGCGACTGGTTCCCTGTAAAGAATATTTACTGGTAATTGGATTAAATTAGTCTGGTCATACGAAATACTCCTAAGTTGTTTTAAATCTTCAGGTATCTCTAAACATTAGGGTATGCTTCTTTTGAATCACAAATCAATAGGGAAGTCCTTATTTAAATCTCATTTAACTATAAGTTCCTTCAAATACAGTTATTATCAACTTCGGAGAATAGTAACGTCTAAGAAGAAAACTAACTTCGTACTTCCATTTTTTAGACTCAGGATCATTAACATTAGTTACTTTACCGTAACAGCCGGTTGGAAACGTTGGGTGGTATGACCCAAAACCAGTTACAACAAAGCAGATGCATTCTCTCTCTCTGGTTCCTTAGATCCTGATATTCAAAATTATTTTAAACTTCCCGTCCTGCCCATGGATTCTATCTTGGATCACACTCTGTATTCCTAATCTTTTTCACTACTACTAATTTATTAACCGCATCTCGCTGTTGATGTGGTGTGGTAATTTGGATAGATGGGAGCCCAAAGTATACTCGTAGTTAGTGATCAGAGACTATCAGTGATATGTCAAGTAGTGGGTTGCATTGTGTATATCTTAAATAAACTATCATTCCCGAATTCTAACTATTTAGCCAATTTTTTCCTCTAACTGTAATCTAATGTTCAATTTGCCATTACTTTTGACGATACCCCCCACCCTGTCTCATATTGTTAGTCTTCTTTCTTCATGTACTGAGTTGAGATTCGGCAACTATAACCGATGTGCACTTGTATCACGTCCTGCTTTAATGATGACCGATACTCAAGCATTCTTAGTGATGACTGAATGTGACTACATCTCATTTCTCAACGGAATTATTGCAATGTATTTCAACATTTGTCTCTTTTTTTGCTGACTGGGTCGGTTATTCATGATATACTAACGATAGCACATCCTCATAACAATAACTTATTTGTAGTTTTGGCTCAATGGTTAAGAAACCTTCTTTCCATCTAGAGTTAGAAGTTCAAAGCCGTCTCATACTCCTCAGTCTAAGTAGACGTGTAGTAATTTCAGCTCTCGTACAAAAAGAATGGTTTGAAGTCGAGTAAATAAACTTATACCTGGCTACAGTATTGCATTCTTCCTCCGCCTTCAAACAACTGATGAAATGAATTGAGAACAGGTTGTGCATTGAAATTTATTATTTGGTAATATGTGATCATATATCAGCATTCTCAAAGCGATATAGTCATTAGATACTGTTATGAAAGTACCTAGTTAAATACAAAAGTGGTAAAGACATTAAAGATATGATATGAATCAGCATTTTATCAAGAGAGGAACAAGTATTTCAGTAACCTCTGGAGTTTTAGGTGATTATTTGAATTGAAGGTTCTTAATATTACTACTACTACAACTACATGTCACCTCAGTATATAAGAATATAATGGAGTGAAGTGTCAATGGGAGGAAACTAGTTAAGCAGACTACAACTAATAATTAGCTTTTGTTTCAAGAATGGTGGAAAACTAACTGTTTCTCTTGGAAACGTTCGCTAAACAGATTGTCTTAGTGTTTCCAGTATGAAGTTCGCAATTAGATCAACTAGTGCATAAATACTGAAAACTGAGAATCCTTGTTTCACTTAATACTTTATTTTTCCCAACATATAAATATACTTATTTAGTGTAGTCCGAAATTTTCGATCGACACTCGATACTAATAGCACAAACTCCTCAAATACTGAGGATAACCAGGACTTCGTCAGATGTATTTGTGAAATCTTAATCTCAAAATATTGATGTCACATGATGGTGACATGGTGACTCAGGATTTATTCATAATTCTTACATACCTGATTAGGTTTTGAGATTACCGAAAAAGCTTTCGACATGATTGGTAATTCAAATGAATGATGGCCGGATTACGCAAGTTTACAAAGGTTGTCAAACATTTCACTGAAATTTTGGAGAGGATAAAATGAGTTTATAAGTAAACTGTAGACTGAGAAGACCAAGGAATACTCAATCGAACTTTATTCATAAACATTACAGTGTAGTGAACAGATAGAATTTGAGTTATAGGTTAGTATATATTCACATTGATGAATGATTTAACACGAAAAACCAACAAGATAGTTAGCACGTTTATGGACAAGATGCATCAAATTCGGATTTGTATTTTTCTATCCACTCTCGAGCAGTGATTTTTTGGGGTAGGACATCGGCCAGAAAATTGTAGCGATCTAACTGACACTGAAGACGAGAAAGATCCTTGTAAGTCAATTCAGATCGATTACCACGAATCGCAGTGGACACAAGCTCACTTACAAACATTTCCTAAACCTTATAATAAAATAACACAATATTTACAGTAGCTTTAGATAGACATACAACAGAATCTGATGAAACACAGTCCACATCAGGAGAACTTTTCATCATAAGGCGAGTCCTGAAAGCCGGTATACGGAGTCCCATAATCTCATCTGTGGTACTATACCGCGGCATTTTAGTAAAAAACTCGAAATTTCGAAGTCGACTGGTACTGCATATAAGGCGATTCCGTATTTTGGTATCCAATCACCAAATACAGAAAGCCGCTTTGTGCTAAGAAGTTCGAGTCTGTAAAATAAGAAGGGTAAACGAAATGGACAGTAAAATTACAACTTATGGACGACCTTGAAGCGACTCTGAAGTGACCTTGAGAATGTCCACTCGCTAGGGCTAAATAAAGGTTATATACTATTGTGAGGAATTGGGATTATGATTTACAGTTGATGGTTAAGTCTATGTATCAGCTTTAGGGTTTTCATCACGAAATGGCATCAACTAAACTGTCAGAACGCCACTTCTCTAAATAAATGTATGAATTTTGCCCCAAAATCGGAAAACTGTTACTCCAAATCTGACTGCATCATTCCTAAAAAATAGTTCAGCTGACACTCGACTACACTATTTCTAGTGAGTTTGGTGGCCATTTGTGGATATGTTTTTTCCTGTAGTTTGAGTGAGCACATTTCTCTCAGTGCAGTGTAGATTCTGGATACGAGCAGTTATCACATTACCAGGCAGGATGTTGGTTGTAGTGTTGAAAAATGAGGTGATAGTTCGAATGCTAACAGAAGGCGAATGTTCCAAGTAATAAATAGATCAGTTGACTAACTGTAAGTGGAGAGTATGAGGAGACTGAAGTGTAAGAATAGGAGTAAAACAAAGGAAATAATGGTATAGAGAGAAAGGGGTTTATGATATGCGATAGTAATGAAGATGGCACAGGTATTCAGTGTTTGACAGCGCCTTTACCAGTAACAACTTCTAATATAACTCGTACCCACCAAGAGAAATCAAAGACAGAATCGAGGAGATCAGAAGTTGTATTTGACGATTGTCAATATATCGGAATTTTCTGATCTAGTCTGGCTAGCGATTGTGGTAGATGTTGAGCACGGCGTTGCCACACGTGATCTGATGCGGATGAATGACGGAGCGCCTTCATCTAGGTGAGTCCACTAAAACTAATCTGGTCAGCATGCAATGTCGAAAACTTACAGAGCTATTTATATTTGGGATTTATTTACCGCTACAGATCTCTCTCCCCTAGTGGGGTAGTGATGACCCTAAGACGTGGCCAGCCAGAAGGTTGAACCCAACGACTTTGTCGTTGGCAAACACCCTTCTGATAGTTTGCTAGGTTTAGCAGCGTCTGGTCGTCTTTCCTTACCATATAGAACCATGAAGCACAGTATAGTAAAAAATGAAAAATTACAATGAAAATTTCGGCTCCCCGCAAACTTCATCCTTCTTTTCCAGCCGTCCTGGAAAAGAAAGAAGAAAATTTAAGTGCATGTCAAAATACACTCGTACGCGCGTAAAAACATTGCCGGCGAAAAAAATGGAAAATGAACTCATACCCGTAATATCTTTAAAAATATGAATTTTCATGTTTTTTTATTTTGTTTTTTAAATAAAAATATAAATATATAAGCATATAAAAATTGTTTTTTTTAATATTACATATGGTAAAAAGAAAAATCGAGATAATGTGAAATGTCAAGTATTGCCTTGCGTCCAATAATCGTTTAAATGTTCTGGAAATCCTGCTCTTCTTCCAGAACGCGTCGTCTTAAGTTTATTTTCTGACACTATTGAAGTATCATCGTGTGTGTTGCCTTTCGGTTGAGGTATTATAAGCGTAGGAGTCGTGTTGTGCGATTGTACCGAAGGGAAATCGACGTGAATAGGATTTCCTTCTAAATACGCTGCTTTTAAGCGGTCAATGCTGGTGCTATCGTTTATTTCGATCTTATCGTCTATATAGTACTTAGGTTCGCGTTGAAGAACTTTGAAAGGTCCTCCGTATGCTGATTCGAATGGTCGTTGATGCCAGTCTCGACGAATGAAAAAGTGTGTACTATATCATGAGTCACATTGAAAGAAAACATCAGTTGATTGTGGTCGAGTGGAAGCAGTTTTAACTGAACGCATTGCGCTTGTAAGCCTGTTCTTGTAGGAGGCTAGATCCATGTTTATTAAAGAAGATGAAGGATATACGAAGTCTCCTGGAAGTCGAAGTGTCATTCCATAAACGAGTTGAGCCTCAGTGTATTCAATGTCAGCTTTCACTGCATTGCGAATACCTAGTAAAACGAGTGGAAGAGCGTTGGTTCACTGCAAAACGTTTGCAGCTGATAGTGAAGCTCTTAGTTGTCGGTGAAAACGTACTACCAACCCGTTTGCATGTGGGTGGTAGGCGCTTTTTCGGAAGCGGGTGATTCCTAAAAGTGTGTTCAGACGACGGAAAAGTTCAGATTCAAACTGACGTCCGCGGTCTGTAGTGATGATTGAAGGGCAGCCAAAGTTTGCTACCCACCGTTCGACGAAGGCGTGAGCCACTGTTTTAGCAGTGATGTCCTTGATAGGTACTGCTTCTGGCCATCGAGTGAAACGGTCTACGCAGGTTAAGAGATAAGAGTATCCATTTGAATCTGGTAAAGGTCCTACCAAATCCAAATAAACATGGTCGAAACGAGCATCGGGAGTTTTCAATTAGCCTAAGGGACATTTATTGTGTCTGATAACCTTAGATTTTTGGCAGCTTACACAGGAGCGTGCCAACTTCCTCACGTCTTTATTCATGCCAGGCCAGCAAAACCGTTCTGCTATAAGCTTGATGGTTGCATGAACACCTGGATGAGAAAGATTGTGCAACGTATTGAAGACGTTGCATCGATAATGCTTCGGTACGATTGGGCAATCCCTACATGTAGATGTGTCACACAGTAAGGTTTCCTTACCTGTTCCCATCTGTTTGATGCGTAGTTTAAGGGTTGTAAACGATAACTAGTGCTGAAGATCAGTGTCTTCTTTTTGAAGCTGGCGAGTTTAAGAGGGTCGATTCCTTGGAAACTGTTCAAAGAAGTTATGCGAGACAAAGCGTCTGCGACTACATTGTTTGCTCCAGAAATGTGTTGAATATCTGAAGTAAACTGCGAAATGTAGTCCAGTTGTCGAGACTCACGAGGTGAGTACTTGTCTGAAGAGGAGCTTAACGAGAAAGTATGAGGTTTATGGTCAGTGAAAAGTGTGACTTTGTAGTGGCATTGGACAATAGCCACACAATCCACAAAGCTGTGAACACGAGACTACTCAGAAAATAGATATTCAATATTTAACGCGGAGAAATACCTAAAAATGGAGAAGGCGCGAACAAGGAATTGAATGGACTGGAGTTGATCGAGTGGCATGGCTCGGCCATGCAGGCGTGGTCTCTATTCATATTAAATATATTGTTCTTTCTCCAGCCTAACCTTCTTATTCATCATGTATTGGTAATTGATACGATACAGTGAGTTGGTGTAGTCGATGGTGTGACTTCCACGTAAGATCTTATAGATTAGGCAGTTATATCATGACGAATCTACAAATTTAGGATTAGGTCTATTATTAGAGCAGTACTAATATCATAGTAGACCATAGTTCTACATTGGTGAGCCCAACTAAAGAAACGCAACCTATTATTATTAATCCTTATTTCCACTTCAACTTTCTCGATCGATTTTATATTTATGTTAACCCTGTATTCCAATAGTCCTCTGATTAATGCTCACATGCATTATCGTAATGTTATATTGATTAGTCCTCATGACAAACTAGCTCAATCGATAATAAAAACTGGTCGTCTATATTAACTAATTAGCTTTGATGATTTGTTAACAAGCTGTAATAGCATTTACATGCTTCAGCGACATAGTCTTGTTTAAACATCAAGCTCTAGCAAATATGACCTGTAAATAGCGTAAATATACATTGACTAACAATGCGATCAAGTACTAAATAGTTCTCTGGATCTAATTCTCAGTGTTCCTTCACTTAACACATCCTGTTTTAAACGATGCACTATCCTGTAATATCTTTTCTTCCGACCACTGCCTGCCTAATTTCATATTCTCGAGTTCCATTGCCAAACAACGAGGATGACTACTCCAAAAACATACGGTGAGTTCCAGCTATAAGTTTTCTGCAATCATAAGTTCATTTTAGATGGCACACACAATTATCTGGATTCATTCAGTTGTTCTGATCAGAGCGAGTCCCAAAGACCTCAACAGCATCAAGCACCCTGAAAGTGATTGCCATACTGTATGTTTTATTCTGGATGCTTTTGGATCATTACTACTCCTCACGAATGGCGTTATATATGTCGTCCACTGAATAATCTAATTTTCAAAAATAATCCAGGCGAGTTCAACTATTTTACTGGGTGATTTTTTTTTACTTAACATGTATATGTTTTCCGGTTCCTTTTGCCATATATTTGTAAGTGTCCCTAGGCTAAATGCAGTAACTTCTTATGGAATGTTTATAACGCATCATATTCCTGCCTGAAGTTTCACAAGCAGTCTAAACTTTAAAACTATTTTCTGGTCATGTTCATTATTTTTAAATCGTCATATACGTCAACAACCTGCATGTTAACCTGGCCCATACATACGTTACACTATATCTCCATGTCTTCTAAATTTAGAAATCATCTGAATCGCCTTTAACACTTATCAATAAACCCATCATAGTCGTTGTTGCTAATCGTATTTGGGTTTATGGATTGGATTATCATATTAGCAGCCTAAAATGCGAACATAGTTTAGATAATAAGATTAAAAATTTAGGTACTATCAACTGCACTAGTGAAATAACTAAATCCCCAAGTAGCTGTTGGCTAAACAAACGTTTAAAATCAAAACTCAGTAGCCTACTAGAATGAACACTAAACGAATATTTCTGAATTGAAATTTATAATTAAATTAGGCGTCTCGGATTCTTTAACGTTATAAATTTCTGATGATTTTGAATCACCTAAAGCAACAATACCTATTTTTCCACTGACTAATCCTTAATCAACACTATAAGTAGTTAAACATAATAGTTTCAGGATATCGTCATAAAGCATTGTCATGACAATCACGTAATATGATTGATAAAATTAATGAGACTATTAACAAAATCGGTCAGCAAATTGACTTATAATTATCACTAGTGTTGTTTTTCTTTTATCTTCATTCACTACGGATGATTACAGTATGTTTCTCTATCAGTTGCTCATTCAGTAAATATCTCAAAACCTTGT